CCTTTCTTTGTAAACTGTGTCTTTTGCCTAGGAAACTTTTTTAAGATTTTTCTCTATACAGCTCCTTCCTCCCTCGTAACTAATTGGCAATTGTTTCTTCTGCAGTTTAGAATCTCACAGCATTCCTCATTCTGAAAGAGGGCCTGACATTCTAACTTTCATATAGGCAGACAAGACGTCAGGTTGTCTCCTCCACAGGAGGTATGTTGGCTAGAAAAGCTAGTTGGAGGCTTCTACTGCCAAAATAATCAAGAAAAAAAAAAAAAATCAGTAAGCAATCCAGCAATGAAAAGAGAAAACAGAATTCCTTATTATCATAAAGGGCCTCAAAAATTTAAAGAAAAATATTAAATTAGAAAAGGAGCTCTAGCAACCACAAATCTAAATGTAAATATTAGAACCATAAGACTTTTATAAAAGCACATGACAAAATCCTCCCAAACTTGGGAAAGGCAAAAAAATTTGAAGGCAGATTGGAATCAGTCTTCTAAACTTATTATTTCAAACGGTTTTGACTATGCTATGATCAGTATTTTCTGATCATAGACTGGATCCGATACTAGAGGAAAGAAAGGACTCTGGATCAAATGACAGAATATTATAGTTAAATAATAACCTTATTCTTAGGAAATACATACTATAATTCTGTTTTTGTTTTTGTTTTTCGTTGTTGTTGTTGTTTTGGAGAAAAGAGCCCTGTACATGGCACTCAGATGGTTTAAAAAAAACAAAGCAAACATGGAAGAATGACAATAACAGGTAAATCTGATTAAAAGATGAGTATTCCATAAATTATTCCCCAGATAAAGTTATTTCCAAATAGAAGAATGAAGAAAAAAATTCACCCATACTATATTGCTGTAGCACCAATGTCTCTGGATATTTTCCGACAGATGGATATTTGAACTGTTTCCAGTTTTTTGCAATTATTAATTCTGCCGTTCTTATAGATATTTTCTGGGGTATCTAGAAAGGTTCTTTACATATGTATTCCAGAAGAGAACTGCTGAATTATAAGGCATGAATATTCAACTTGTTAAAAAATACAAAACTGCTTCACATCTGCAATTGTGTAAGGCCTTGTTTAYTTACAATCTTTCCAATACTCAAAATACTGTCACACTTAAATTTTGCTAAATGAATGGATATAAAATATTTTCTCATTCTAATCATGAATTGGATTTTCCTAATTTCATTTTTACTTCCTGTTGCAGCAACTTCCTAAGTGGACAAGGCTACTGGCTTTGACTATTCTGAGTTATTAAAATATGTAGGTTGGGATGAGGAAAAATGGCAACAGTGCATTTTCCCCTCGATAGGGGGGAAATAAAATTGTTTTACTGAGTCACTATGGATACCATCAAAAGGAAACAGGTCTTGGTTTAAGCTTCCTGAAGCAAAAATAGATAGCAGTCCTCTGCACTTAAGAGTGAACAGTATTTTATTAGAAAAATTGGGGGGAAGAAAGTAGACATTGTTTACATTGAACCTACATTGGCCATTGTAACATGAAGGGTATTGATTGTAACATGAAGTGGAGAAAAGTTTAGGAATATGAGAGAAGATTGGTTGGAATTGGTAAGTAGGATATAGTGCTGCCTAAGGGGTTGTAATGAGATTGTTTTCTCTAACTTTCAATAAGACTGAATATTGGTTTACATGCATTAGTCTTGTCTGTTTTCCTCTTTCACTAAATGCGTATCCGTACCTTTTGCACATTTTTTCTACTGAGTTGTCTTTTTTATCTTTATATATTCTTAGTATTAATTTTCAGGCAGTTATATTCAAATTTCTTCTGGTACTTTCAAAAARATGTATTTTTAAAGCTTCCTTTAAAGCATCTTTTGAGGAATTGTTTTTAACTAATCAAATTTATCAATCATCTCTTTTATAAGTAATGCAGTCTGTGTCTTCTTTAAGAATCTGACTTTACCCAAAGTCTAGAAGATATGCATCTGGGAAAATGTGGCCTCTACTTATCACAAACCTTGAGAAATTAGAATTTAATACAGGACAGATGAGATCTTATTAAAGAGACACTAATAATAATTTGCAACTACTTTTAGTTGGGGGAAAAAAAGAAATTTTAGCAAAACACAACTGATTTGTCCTTTGTGATAGAGCCAAGGAGGTCCTAGAATAGACAGGGAGCACAAAAATCACTGGAATGCCAAAAACATTTGAAAGCATTTATGATGGAAGCCCCAAGTACAAATATAAGCATGTCAAAAAAGAAAATTACAACTCTGCCTAGACAAGAGCTAACAACAAAAGGAAAAAAAACTGGGCAAAGACATAATTCATTTGCTCATGAGTTAAAAATCATGGAAAACTGACTCCTAATATAGTAGCTTCAAACATACAGGGAAGTCAATTACTTAGTGTAGCCATTGTACAGATTTTCCTTTTTAACCACAGAGTGATAGTAAAATCAACTTACAGCATGACTATCCCATTCCCACATGTACAGTGGCAGAGGCATATGAAACTGGCACCAAGAACTAAAGAAAAAAAATGTAAAAGTACCTACTTTGATCTCGATGATCCTCCTTCTGATCCAGTAACTAATAGGAAAAGAGCCCAAAGAGTAATGAAGGGTTTTCTGATCCTGACAAAAATGAAAAAATACTAACAAACTTGTGAGTCAAGATCAGTGGGTGCCAGGGGTTACACACAGGGCAGGGATTTAAGTAAAAAAAGATAGTACAAATGAGGTTTTCATATATGATGGAACTGTTCTGTATCCAAAATGTGATGATGCTTCTATCCATTTACATGTAAAAAACTGAAAGCTGTAGATTCGAAAGAACTTAACTTTATTGAATGATTTTAAAAAAGAAAAAAAAAGCTTTAAATCTATGTAAAAAAAAAAAAAATACTTATGGGAGCTTTATTTATATTCCCCCCAAACTGGAAACAATCCAAAGGTGATAAATCCATAGAATGTAAAACAATGAAGCAAAGCCTCTAGTATCTTGAATGAAAAAAACTGACCCAAAAACTCTATACCCAGCTAAACTGTTGTTTACATATCATGCCAAAGACCTTGTTGTTGTTGAGGTACTAGGGATAGAACCAAGGGCCACTTTACCACTTAGCTATATCCCCAATCTTTTTACTCATTTTGAGACAAGGTCTCAGCTAAATTGCCCATGCTACTCTTGAATTTATAATCCTCCTGTCTCAGCCTTCTATAATTAATAAAAATCAAGTTTAATAAGATTTGAAATAAAGATGTCAATTATGAGTTAGATGTCATAGAATGGAAGCAATGGAATAACAGGAATATAAAAATTAAAAGTTTAATTCACTATTGTGTATATTTGTGTAATTTATACAATAACATGACTATAATACATGTCATAAAAAATATTTATGGGGCAGGCACAGTTGTACCAGTCTGTAATTCCAGCTACTTGGGAGGCTGAAGCAGGGGATTATAAATTAGAGGCCAGCCTTGAAAACTTAGTGAGATTCTGCCCTGTAATAAAATTTTAAAAGGGGTAGGGATCATCTCTGGGATCAATTTTTAGTATGAAAAAATATATACATTCCAGAGACAACTATCTATTAAAATACTGAAAATAGTAAAACTAGGACTAAATTTTTAGACTGGGTAAAAAAGAAAAGTATGAACACATACAAGGCTACCTTAGTGGTAGAAGAAAATAAAGCTAATAATTATTTCTTTATCATGCAAATTTTCTCCTAAATAATCTCATCCTATTTTCATGGAATCGACTGTTTACAAACCAAAACCAAAACAAAAACAACACCTAGGTCTAACACCCACATCTCTCTAAATGCTTAAGTCAAAAAAATTTCTCTACCTATATTTCTCAAATGTGTCTTAAAATAAGTACATCCCAAAATAAAATCTGTATCTGCATCTCACCTTTCACATTCCAGATCATTTCTCCTGATATGCTCTTTTGTAATGGCAGTTACAAGATGACAATTTACTTAAACACTAAACTCAAAACCTCACTAGCAACTGGATCCAAKTTTCCACATTTAACTAGGAGAAAATTATATTCAGCAATCTTAACCTTTGTGGAAACAGTCCCACAAAGCCTTAAATAATAATTTGCATCACTCCAAAAGTTTCTGGCAATTCAGCASAGAAATCACTGCAACTAGAATCGCCGAGGGTTAAAAAAATCACCTGGGTTTAAAATTTGAAGCAGTCCCCCTGCTGCACACAACCAAGAAATCACAAGACAAATTCACAAAGAATTGAATCACTAACACTTTTACATACAGATAGTTAAAGGAAGTTTCTGCTTTATCTTAGTTTCCATAAGAGATTTTTCCACAGCAGTAAAAACTATTTACTGGAAGAGCAAACTTTAACCCCGCTTCTCTCTAAAAGAAATTTAAATGTACTATCTACAGAAAAATCTCCTAGTTGCCTCCATTCTTTTTCCACCTAAAACTAGGACCCCAATTTTATTCTGTAGTTCAGGACAGAAAACAATCCAAGCCTGCCGGCCAGTATGTTACAAACATRAACAACAGTATGTCCAATTGAAAGTCTTCCAATGGAAGTTTTCCTGAGTCTCACAGATGAATAACAAAAGAAATCAAATGCTATGGAGTCTAATTCTGAAGCCCACATCCTCCCAAATCTAATCTGCCTCCCAAAGCCAAATTGTCACCATATTTTGTTGCAAGAGCTTCAACTATACAAACTACAAAAATACTTTGGTGTTGTTTTTTAAAAATCCATTTTCTCAGCCAGGTACAGTGGTGCACATCTGTAATCTCAGCTACTCAGGAGGCTGAGGCAGAAGGATATCAAGTTTGAAGCCAGTCCAAGCAACTTAGAGACCCTACTTCAAAAATGAAAAAGGGCTGAGGATGTAACTCAGTAGTAGAGAATCCCTGAGTTCAATCCCTAGTACTGTGGAGGGAGAAAACAGAGAGTCATTAAAAGGTACCCATCCATGTACTCCATCCCCAAGAGAAAGACCCACACATCAAAATTACTATATTCTTACCCTACGCATGGCTTCCTCCTCTTCTTGACGCTTTTCATAATGTGCAAAGTCATCAAAGATTGAGGTGGTATGCTTGAAAGTAGCAATTATTTTAAGCACTTGCTTAGCCTTTTCTAGRGGTACCTCTTGAGTGTCCCTTGAATTGGTTACTGGTTTGTTGTCATTGTTTTCTAAGCGAATGTGCCGTAACTGGTTATTGGGAACATCTTTCACAAAGATCCATTTAACTTCAAATTTGCCCTTCCATTTATCCTGAGACCAGACACCAGCATATGCATTATAGTCCACAACAGACTTCATCTCAGCCACTCCACAAAAATGTCCACTTCCATTCACACTAAAGAGTAAATAGAGTGGGCCTTTCCCATTCAGGGAACGGTAGGCTGCATCCAAACGCTTATTACCATGCTCAGTACTACACCAGATAGAATACTTAATGGAACGATGTATGTCATCCTCAGAGTAGCTTTTAATTATAAACACACGTCCATTCTTCAGGTTCCAATCAAAGTCTTTGGGATTATAGTTGTTTATGRCCTTTAGCTTTTCCAGTACTGGATGCAYTTCTATGCTAGAAGGTGAAGCGCTGACAGGTACAACACCTAAACCAAAGTTTTCACTGCCCACTCCATTGTTCTGGCTGAAGCCCGCTCCCCTGTTCCGAGGAGCTACCCAGCGATTTTGCAGCTGCGGTGGCTGAGGCTGCACTTGGTGTGGCTGGGCCTGCGGCTGAGGTCCTTGTTGCTGCTGTGGTTGTGGTGGCTGAGGCTGCTGCTGAGGCAGTTGGCTTTGCACCAATGGTGGCGGTTGAATTAATGGCTGAGGCTGCTGGATTATAGTTTGAGGAGGCAGAACTGGTTGGGTTGGTGGAGCCTTTACCACTGACCCCTTTTCATCCCAAGTTCCAATATTCATGTTGTGTTTTATAGGTGGTGRTGGTACAGCAGAACCCCCAATGCCCACATTGCCCTTGGGTTTAAGTTTCGGTTGAGGTTTGGCAGGCTTCCTAGCAATGGCAGCCCAGGAGGTTGGTTTAGGTGCTGCACTACTAACTGGGGGTACACTATTGGTTGCAATGCTAGTCATACCACTGCTGCTCAAGGCTGTACCTACAGTTTTTGTCACTGCAGCTGTCAGGTCACCACCAATTTTCAGTCCAGTCATGCCTTGCTCAATACTGCTAATGCCAGGCACCTTACTCAAAGTATCATTGCCAAATCCAGCCTGTCCATCAGTAATAGCTCTCCCAAGAGAACTAGGTGGATAGCCATAACTGCTGCTATAAGCAGAACTTTGTGTTGATTGTCCCTGAGATCCACTTGTCCCCCATGTAGAGAAATCAGCATTACCAGGAAAAAAGTTAAATCCATGTTGACCAAGAAATGGAGGGGTATTTCCTAATGCTCCAGGCTGACTAAAAACACCATCTGGTATATAATGATGTTCTCCATTACTCATTTGTCCATAGGTTGTCAGATATGGCATAGGCTGGTCTCCAGCCGTGGACCATGCTGCTTCCCCAAGAGAATATGGAAATCCAATGGATGGAGCATAGTAACTAGGCATATATGGATCTGACATTGGTGGATAGCTGTTACTCTGCAAAACAGAAGACCACAATCAGTAGTGAAATGTCCTCTTTACAGGAGGGAAAAAAGATATCTAAAAGTTAAAATCAAACAGTTTTAAATAAATGAAAAAGAGATGCACTGGATAAACACATGAAAATTTCTAGATAAGCATAATTAAAGTTTCAAATCCAATCTCAGAAAAGTTTACATGAGTACTCATATTTTTAATATTATAAAATAACTTAGGAGTTTCATAGGAGGATTAAGAGTAGGACTGGGATTATTTTTGTTTGAAGAGTCAGATCTTCTGTCACAATTTTAAAATATTACAATTTCTACAAAAAGCTAATTCATAAAACTTTGCAGACACAAGATTTAACATTTATACTCAGCTATATTTTAAGTTATTGATGTGTTCAAAGAGTTACATATAAGGATTCAATAGGGCTGGGGATGTGGCTCAAGTGGTAGCGCGCTCGCCTGGTATGCGTGCGACCTGGGTTCGATCCTCCTCAGCACCACATACCAACAGAGATGTTGTGTCCGCCGAGAACTGAAAAATAAATATTAAAAATTCTCTCTCTCTCCTCTCTCACTCTCTCTTTAAAAAAAAAAAAAAGGATTCAAAAAACCTGGAAACTATTTTAAATAGAATTACAATTTATCATTGACAGAATCCAGTTCAGCCATTAAATTTTGTACTTAAGAAAAAATAATATGAGAAATGCTCACATTCTGAAAAAAAAAGATTCAAGATTATGCCTATGGCATGATCCAACTTTGTTTCGTTTTGTCATGTTCATTTTGGAAAGAAATGAAATCCTTATCTTGGCTTCTTAAGGGTGAGGCAATGGATATCTTTCTTTTTTAATGCTCTGTGTTTTCCACACTTTACAGAATGAAAATAGAAATTTTTTGGTCAGAACTTCAGAGTAAGTTCACATAATTTTTTCCAAAACTATTTCAAGTAAATAAATCAACCTCTCTTGAATATTAAGTAATCATGCATTTACCAATTTGCCAAAAATCAAGACACCAAATTTTATTAATAAAAAAACCCCACAAACAATATAAGCTCATGTGAAAATTAAAATAGCTTAAGGATTTCCCTTAAAAATGGGTTATGTCAAAAAAAATAAATAAAATGTCTGATTAATTTTTTAATCTGCTTTAAGTTTTATTATTTTAAAGCCTTGGACAGAGCTTTAGAATTTGTGTAATTATGAAAGGTTTGAAAAAATTAGCTAATATTCAGTCAGAGCAATTGATGTTTCCTCATAAGGGTCAATATCATTAAGTCTGATGATTCACTTAATTTATATAAACACTATAAAGTCCCTGGGATAAAGTTCTTAAATTCATCCTCCTTTTTCTCTTTTATATTCTTGGGCTATTATGTGGCTTCTTTTCCACTAAAGCAAATATAAAAAGAGCTCAGGTACGGGGTATAGCTCATTGGTACAACACTTGACTAGTGTATGCACAAAGCCCTAATATAACTAATTACTACTATCAATAGTAATGCATGAGAATAATATCATAGCTACTACTTGGAATTACTAAGTTATTATTTTAAAGGCTTATGCTATGATTTAGATATGAGGTGTAGCTCAAAATTTCGTATATGAGATAATACTAGAACATTCAGAATTGAAATGATTGGTCTATGAAGGCCTTAACCTAATCAGTGTGTTAATCTCCTAATAGGAATTAACTGGGTGATAACTGTAGGCTAGGTAAGGCAAGAAGAAATAAGTCACTGGGAGCATGCCTTTGAGGTATAAATTTATCTCTGGTGAGGACTGCTCTCTGCTTTCTAATTGTCATGGTCTGAGCTGATTTTCTCCATCATGCCCTTCTGACTGATCCTCTGCCTCACCTCCGGCCCAGAGCAAGTGAGTACTTCTGAAACCATAAGCACCAAGTAAACTTTTCCTACTCTATACCGTTTGTCACATCTTTTTGTCATAACAGTGAAAAAGCTGACTAAAACAGCTTATCATTAAAAACTGAGATATTTTATTATTACTACTTTTGGATTTTTGTTTGTTAGCTTGTTTGGTGCTTGGGATTGAATCCAGGGCCACCCTCTCACTGAGTTACATTCCCAGTCGCTATTATATTACTAATAAGTTACTATGACACACCTCACAACTGTTCCAAYTATCCACTGTCTATGAGAATGCTAATACGCTATCTTTTGAAATGATTCTCTGTTATAACTGAATTTTAACTTTAGATCTAAACGTATTCTATTTAAATTAATAATTCTGATAAGGACTGGGGATGTAGCTCAGTGGTAGAGCACTTGTCTAGAAAGTGCAAGTTCCCGAGTTCCATCCCCAGCACCAAAAAAGGGAAAAAGAAAAGTACAATTCTGAAAGATTTACTGGSTATTGCCAGTAAAACTTGGACCTAAACCCAAATGTGTCCCTTATTACTATTTAAAGAAAAACAAAAATTACAATGCAATTTTCCAAATATACCACATATTAAATATATTTTACCGTATTCAAAACTGTAATAACTCATGTTACAATTTMCTAATCTAGTTGAATAATTTTTAGCTTTACTGAGTGGGCAATTATTACCTATATCTGAAAATATACTCAAAGAACACGAAAAATATTAGTATGAGATAGATTAAGAGCATTTTTGGAACCACCACCACATAATTACACAAATTCTAAAGCTCTGTCCATATCAGTGAAGAAATCCTAACTGCCACATTTAACACACCTACAAAGTGAAGCCTGAGGGAAGCTCTAATACACCAACAATGGTTTTTAAAGAATAAAATATTGAAGAATTTAAAGAGTAAGATTCAGAAACCATAACAACAATACACACACACTTACAGACACACAGATGTATTTGTAATCTGATTACTAAAATGTCTGCTAAAAATAATGGTACTAATACTGATAGGGAAATCATTGTGATTAAAAAAAAAACAAAAAGTTTAACCAAGGGTTCCAAGTGTTGCACTACACCTAGAGTCCTCAAATGTACTGCATAAATGGTCACTTTTCTCCTGTTAATCCATTTGTTCTTCAATTCTTTCAAGAGTTTTTGCTGAATGAGATTTTTTTTTTCTCTAGATCTATGACAGTAATTCAAGCAATCTCAAGGCTCTGGTTTTGGTTCTAAGAACAACTAAGACAGTCACAGTGGCTGGGGATGTAGCTCAGTAGTAACAGCACTTGMAGGCATAAGACCCAGAGTTCAATCCCAGCACCCCAAAATTTTAAAAAAGAGAACAAAGATTTCAGTAGAGCTTCAATCATAACTTATTATAAATTAATGTTTTGATAAATTTAAGGCACATTTTAAATTGCCAGCTAAGTGGAATTTTGGGTTAATTTCAATTATCTCAGTAGTAAAGAGGAACAAAATCTGTACTCCCTGATGATGTAAAACAATTCATAACTTAGTTCCATTTTTTTATCTCAAAGTTAATTGTAATGATATATGTAATCAATTTAGGGATTTATATGCAGTCTGCTTAAACTAGTCTATTCATGATACAGAAATTTTTCAGTAATAGCAAAATCTTATTTTTTTCTTCTTTAAAGAAATACTACCTTTAAACATAGTGATGTGAAATGCTTTGTATGACCCCTATATGCAAAGAACTAATTAGAAGGGGAAAACAGTAATATGTTAATATGAAAATGATAATAATAAGCAGGAGATGTTCGTACATGCTTATATTCTTAGCACTGAGGAGGCTGAGGAGGCTAAGGAAGTAATCTCCCTTGAGTCTAAAAGTTAGAAGCCAGCCTTGGCAACAGAATAAGACTCCTATATCAAAATTTAAAAAATAAAATAAAAATAAAAAGGCACAATAATCACTGGGTATGAATAAACATACTATGAGAACAGATCCATAAACTCCTCTATCTAAAAACTCCTCTACCTATAAAAATGAAGTACAATATAGAAAAGCTATCTGATTAGCAGGTTCAAGAGAGGCCTGTGAAGTATCTAGGTTTTATTCCCAGTCCAGATACTTAGCACCTATATGAAAGGAGCCAAGTTACTTAGGCTCTGAACTGTTTTCTCATCTCATTAAAGAAAATACAGAGATTCTGCAATCTGATTTTAAATCAATATGCTTAAGAAATGTCTGCACTCCCATGTTTACTGCAATACTACTCATAAAGCCAAGACAGACAATCAATGTAAGTGTTCATCAATGGTTGAATGGATAAAGAAAATGTGGTATATACACACAATACTCAGAATTTTTTAAAAAACAAATTTGCAAAAATACAAATGGATTTTGAGAACCTTAAGAGCTAAATGAAATAATTCAGGCATAGGAAAACAAATATCACATATTCTTACTTATATGTACAATTTAAAACAACTAAATTATAGAAGCAGAGAGTAGAATGGTAGAGACGAGGACAGTGGGGGAGATGGTATCAAAGGTTATAAAACTCAGGAAAAATATATTGGTTTTTTAAAGTTCTATTATGCAGTGTGGTAAATGTAACTAATATACTATGGTACATTTCAACTCAATTTTATCTTAATTAAAAATGAGTCTTTCAATTATAACTTAATATCCTTTTTTACTTCATGATTATCCAAACATCCTAGAAACATTGTGTATCTTAAAAGTTCAATAAAAATGGTTAAGGTACTATTAACCAGAAATAGCTCCTAAGCACAGAGAAAACTGAAAAATATCTGGCATTTAAAAACTAAGCAGAGCTGGGTAATCCAGATACTAGGGAAGCTGAGAAGAGAGGAACAGAAATCTGTGACCTCCCTAACACACACACATTGTTTCAAAAAAAAAAAAAAAAACCCAACTCCTGACTTCTAAAGTAACAATAAAAAGTTAAGTAACATTCAGCATATTTTTAATGCTTGTATGCATTTTCTTCTGCTACTGCACTTTTCATTTCAAAAGTGTAATTAATGCATATCTAATCATAAGGATGTCATAAGAAAAAAATGTGTTATATAATAAAATCTGAATATTTCATCAGCCATAATTCTTCTTTCTCTATTAGATAACCTAATCTATTCCTTCATTTAATAAATATTTAATGAATACCTACTTTGTGCCAGATATCATGCCCATCACTGGGAATAAAAACATGAAGAATACAGTCTCCAACCCAGAGCACTTCAGAGGTATAGTGGGGAAGACATTTACCTTACAATGTGATAGGACTATAACTGAAGCATAAAGATAGCAAAAGAAACTACTATAATACAAATAGGAGAAAGCAAGAAACTGGAAAATCAGAAAAAATTACACGAAGGAAATTTTATACAAAAATTAAGATGATAAAAGAAATATTCAGAAAATATTTATATATTTCAGAAATAATGATAAGAACTATTTCCTCAAGTTAAGACAGAGAAAGTTGACAAAGGCTGTACAGGATTAAAAAAAAAAAAAAACCTGGAGTCATTTTAAAGGCACTTATATAACAGATGCACCCACTGTTGTAAAAGGTGTAAAAATTTTGATTTTTATTGCAGTATTGGAGTGGAATTCAGGACACATGATAAGCAAGCACTCTACCAAATTTGCTACATCCCTAACCATTTTTTCATTTTAAGACAGGGTCTCACTAAATTGCAATGACTAGTCTCCAACTTCTGATATTCCTGCTTCAGCCTCTTCTGAATGTGATTACAGACATTTTGTGGTAATTTCTTATTGACAGTATACCACAATCAGACTTGGATTTTAACCCAGTAAGTCCCTCATTTTCAATTCTGCAAATATTTCAATAAAATKTAAACCAGTGCATTAAGAGAGGTTGGAAAGCAATCTAGAGCTAATCATATAATTAACCTTCACTGTTAATACTAACTATATCACTAATAATATTWTCACTAATCCTTCATCTATTGCCTTTCTCAAAAGAGTATAACTCTAAAAACATTAATATTTATTTCAAAATTACCCATGGCATACTTTTTGCCAAATTCAAGCTTTTATAGATATCCCCCATGTGGACATATGGATTAAGAAAAACTACCAATAAAGAAATCATTCTGCAATGCAGATAAGAAAAATCTTAACAAAGATTAGTAATGGCAAAACAGAAAATAAAATTCAAATACTATATTTTAAAAATTCTTGACACTTCTCTGATAAACACAGTTTGAATTATTTCCCCAAACTTCAGTCTTCTAATTTATTTGACAAGTTTGTATGCACAAATTATATGGTATCTTTAACAATGAGCACTGAAATATAAATTTTCAAATCAAYTTAATCATCATTTTTTCTAAAGAACTGTAGAGAATTAATTTTAAGATCTGAAAGATATTTACTTTTTAATTTATAAAATAATCAAATATTCCCTAAGAAATTAAATACAACTAAACACTATGGTGGCTGGAGGTATAGCTGGATACTGGGCTTGCCTAGCATGCTTGAGGCCCTAAGTTCAACCTTCAGCACAACAAAAAACCAAAGAACAATAAGACTATAAAATAGAAATACACTGCCACAGGAATACAAAGGCCAACAACTTATTCTAACCCATCCCTAGGTTTGATATGAATTAGATCTAAATATAAACAACTTAAACCATGAGCCCCAAATCTTAAACACCTTTCCACCAAGATTAATTTCATCATTTATAATTTTAAAATTAGATGAAGGGAATTTAATCTTAATAGTACAATGTGGATATGCTAAATTTTTTTCAAACAATTATTTCAGTTAGGTTGGTAAATAAGAATCTTATTAAATACTTTTTAACTTTAAAGTACACCAATAATTACTTCAGATATTTTATAAGTAAATCCAGTTTTCAGTATTCTCTGAAAATATTCTTTAAAAGTTGCATTTCTTAATTTATACATTTTAGCTATGTAACAATAAGTTCTTGTGTAACTTACCTTTAATATTTCTGATAATTTTCAATTTTTCTCTTAAGAAATCAGTTTCCAACATTCTATAGTTAGCAATCTTTAAAATGTAAATATGTGCCTTATTAGAAATAATTATTTATAGTACCATGGAAAGACAACTGCTGAAAATCTGTTCAGTACTACCAAGGAGAGGCAACACACAGCCTCAGTGGAATCAAACTTTAAAATTTCCCTTCAAATAGGACATAAACATGTTGATTCCAGTATTGTAAGTTGAAATAATAAACATAAAAATTTAATCTTTCCATTTATATATTGCATTAAAATAAATATTTTATAAATATTTTTGACCCAACATGAGAAGCAAAAATGCAGATGAAGAATTCATTTAACTTTACTAACACAAATGTCTTTAAAAAAAAATAAAAAATAATGAGTTTCTGTGGGAAGAATCATTATAGCTCAGTGGTAGGGCTTCTGCTTGGCATGTACAAGGCCCTAGTTTCAATCCCCAGCACAAATTTTTTAAAATAATGACTTTCTAAAACTTTTTTCCAAACATCTTTTACAAATTTTGTAAAATAGATAAAGTGCCCCAAAGTAAAGATCTGGTTGCCAGGCAGGTAAGATGCAGGAAACCTCGCCTGGCATCCCTTAGGCACCCTGAAGTGCCTCTGCAAAACACCAAAACACCCTGTGACAAAAACTTCCTGCAACAAAAGCTGTTCTAAGTCATTGTGACAAATAATGAATAATTTTAAAGTACATAATCAATTAAAATAATATGATTTTTTTCAGGTAATAATTCCCAAACTTATACAGTTCACTAAATTTCCTTAAAAACAAAATTTGAGCCAGGCAAAGTAGTGCATACCTATAATTCCTGCTACTCAAAAAGCTGAGAAAGAAGCATTGCAAATTTGAAGCCAGCCTTGGCAAATTTAGCAACACCTGTCTCAAAGTAAAATTTCTAAAAAAGGACTGAGAATGTAGCTCAGTGGTAGAGCACTTGCCTATCATATGAGAGGCCTTGAGCTCAATACCCAGCACCAAAAAAGGGGGGGGGCGGCGAGGGGAAAAAAAGTATGAACAAGGAAAAGGAGTTTCATATTATATCCTCATCTTATACTTTATAACTATGAAATCAAATAGCAAAAAAAAAAGTTGAATTGTTTAGCCCAATAAATTTCCTAAGTTTATCTGATGATAGACATCTTTTTAGAACATGTACTTATACCTTGTGTAACATTAGAATTCCTCAAAAAGGTTGGAAACAGTGCCATGATGGATGTTAACTGAGAGTAATATATGAGTCAAACTACAACAAAAATGTATTTAAAACTTATAATACATCTCACAACCATGATCTTCTCCAACTTTGCAGCGATACGTTCCTTCATAATCCCTTAGGTAGAAAAGTTGGTATTGAGATCATAGTTAGATCACATAAATCTGAAATCAATTTTTTACTCCCAGTTTTTATTCTTTCGCCTTTACTGATTCGCTCCAAGCAGAAATGATCAAGAGGTAAATCAGGTTGAACAAGCCACATCCTTCCCAGTTCTAAAAGTAATTCTACATTCTACAAATGTAGAATTTGTTTTCAAATTTTCTCTACAACTTTATTGTTAAATTCCACAATAATATCTGGTTCTTAATTCTTTCACAGTTTTAAAACTCTAGGTTAACAATTTTGGAGTATATTTTCCATGTATCTTTTTTAAGGAAAATAAAAGTAGATTTACTGTGGAGACCTGATGAAATTGATACAGAAAATTTATTTTTAAAATTTGTTTCTAGCAGTGACACACTTTTAATAATAGAAATGGTTTAAAGAAATAGTACAAAGATATTAAATGCCTTTATTTTGTTGTTTTTCAATGTTTAAGTTATTCCTATGTACAAACCCATGCGAATCAGTGGTGGGCACATGCGTACCATGTGCAAAGCTCTGGGTTCAATCCCCAGCGCGCACGCACACACAAACACACACAAAAAAAACTACACACACACACACACAAAAAAAAAAAAAAACCCTACCAGTTACTAATGATCTAATAATCTGAATGAATTTTCATATCCACAATATAGAAGTGTTTACAAAGTCTTCAATCTTATCCCTTAATGTTACCAGGTAATATTATAACTTGCAGTGATTATCAATGAAATTCAAATTGGAATGCATTATAAAAAAAAATCCTACATTTAGTCAAAAATATCACATACAACTAAGACTCCCTCCACATAAAAATTTCTAGCAACTAGGTCTTCTTATTTGCTTTAATTACATAGATATGGCAGTGATATTAGAAATTAAAATCATTTCCACACTCAAAAAACCCTGACTTTAATATGTAAAAAGAAAGGTTCAACTTTAAATATTTATTTTATATGTATTCCATTACCTACTTTCAGCTACCTATAATCTCTAAAGGAAAACTCTCCTGTGCAAAAACCTGCAACTGTTATTAATTTCATGCAGGCACCCCAGATGAATTCATTCATGCTACAGTTAGTCTTTTTCAGTTAAAATATCTAGTTAAAAATTCAGTTAATACTAAAAATGTTTAACTTCCTAAACTACTTCTGTCAAAAGACTTACCTGATTTGTCTGGCTACTTAAGTATGGCTCAAAATCATCATCATTTACAGCATCTTTTTGATGAATCGAACCGTTTTGTACTGAAACTAAAAAACATACTTGTATTAGAAGTGTTGCAATTATCTTTATGAAACTCACAGCACACCTAAWATTTTAGATATTTTTCAAACCAACTCAGAAGAAGTAATCTTGAGTTCTTTGTTCTTTTCATTTAAGAACCCTCTTAAGGATAAGCTTTATTTTAGACACAAATATCTATGTGCCACAAAAATCTTAGAAACCTTGTGATAAATAAGCCCAAGATTATTATGAATACAAACCATACATATTTTTAACACACACACACACACACACACTTCCCCTTACCAAATCTTCGTCAATTCTGTGGTGTGGTGTTATACAAAAATATTGGAAAGGGTTCTCAAATACTATTCTTGAATCTAAAGTAACTATTTCAAGCAGTATTGTAGACAACAGAGATTTCTGAATGTTCCCTTTATTAAAAATCTATTAGTTCAATAAAGGTAAAAAAAGAACAATACAACCTTTTTTTAATGTTCCAGAAAATGACTTAAATATCTTTATTTAAGTGGCTAAAGTTTACTTGAAACAATATCACAATGAATAAACATAATTGAAAACCTAAATAAAAAGAGCCTTCATTCTAAACCAGAAAAATATGAAGACTGACTGGAGGTATATAGCTTAGTGGCAGAACATGTGCTAAGCATGCAGTTATGTCCTGGGTTTAATCCCCAGAACCAAAAATAAATAAAAAAAATATGAAAACTTTCACATGGAAGTAGAAATACAACTGAGAAACCAAAGATAACCATGATAAATCTTCAAACACTTAAGAAAACAAGTCAGAGAATAACAGATTATTTCTTCAGAAGTCATTTCCATAAGACTCAAGTTATTCTCTGGATGCTGTGTCAGACTGTGTTTGAGCACAGAATGTAAAASAAAGTCCTAGATTTGAATTCCAAGTCCTCCACTCAGGAGACAAAAGATCTCCAGTAGTAACTTATCCAGTAGTAACTTATCCTCTATAAGTAATTGATGACTACCCTGTTCCAGGAGGTTATTCCTAGTCCCTACACCTCATCTCACTTCAGTGTTAAATGACAGTGTTCAATAATCTTAGATATTATTACATTAAATATTACAAGATCCCAAAAGGACTAGACTTTAGAACCATGAAAACAGAAGTGTTAGTAGGCGAAAACTTGGTGTCATAACAATGTGTAAATATACTACTGAAACATGAAAAAAGTTGAAAGTTTGAGAGCTATCAATTAATTTCTTATAAGGGAAAAAAACACAAAACAAAACAAAAAACTCTTATCTGAAGATGTCACAAAGCATTACAAATGAATATGGGGGTGTTGGGATTACAATGTGTGTTCCTTTATAATATCATTAACATTTTCATTATTTCTAATTTTGCCATGAGTTCACATCACCTAAGATATTATGAGTTAAGAGTGGCTTGAGAAGCACTGACCACTCAGAGAAAATCCTACTCTGTAAAGCCTTCTAAGAAGAACTCTTATGATGTTATTACTCCTCAGAAGCCAAAAGAAAAACCTGTAGGTCAACTTAATTCTAACTCCACTGAGGTTGTGTAACTATTTGATAAGGACTACATCTGAACTAGCTAAGGTTAAGCTAAATATGCCCCACAAAATTAAATATATAATAGTCACTAATAACAAAAATAAAGAGGAGGAGCTTTAGGCTTTATCTAGTGCCATTTTAAGGGCAGGCTAATCATTTTAGTCCAAAAGATTCTGACATACCTATTCTTTACCACTGGCTTTACTATACATGTTCTTTTACTTCTTGAAAATAAAAAATCCTCACTACTGGAGTATTACATTTGTACATAGTAGCAAATATTTAAAACAGCTAATCATTTTGAAATTACACCTACCTCTGTACCAATTAGATTCTCAGATATCTAGTTCATACTGCTAGCAAAGTAAAAAAAGTACATAAAATTTATCTGAATATTATACTGTTTTTCTTCATTTCTTCTGTTCTAATTCTTCTAATTCTGAGAACAGATTTCACATACACAAAGTAAATACAATCTTAGTTATTTTTAAATCATTTGAACATGTATACAATGTTCTTAAAAATTATACAAAATGTAAGTCAAGCTAAAGGAAAGATATTTAACTCGGAGTATTTACATAAAGTGATAAGCAATTTGCTTTAGACTACAAATAGGAAACTGACCCTTGAAAGTAAGCATATCTTTCTTTCAAAACTTCAACTGTCTATTATAAAGACTATAGTATTTGTACATTACTTAATGACACTCTAATGTCTTGGAGACTGAAAGCCATTAAATAGTAATGAAATCCAAACCACTTCCATAGTCTGTAAAAGTTCTTCAGGGGAAAAAAGAACAGATGACTTACATGATTCTTCGCCTGTTTCCTCTGCTCTATGAAGCAGAGTCAAATCAAGATAGAACATGGGCCTTAGAAGCCAGGTGATTCTTTGCTCTGGTCCTGACTACATCAAGTTAGGAAAGTCAACAGATGTGTGCATCATGTTTTCCCACCTACAAAAACAGYGACAATACCATATACCCTCTATCTCCTTATAGGAATGTTGTGAGGATTAATGATAAAATGAAGCCTAAAATGATTTTAAAATGCTCTGAAATCATTTCTGGGGAAAACGGGGAGGGGATACAACACCATATTGCCAAAATATAAGGCGTTTTCCACTACTTTTCTAAAACATTAAGACTTAGCCAAATTCAACCTATTCTTTTACATTGAATATTGCCAAAATATAAGGCGTTTTCCACTACTTTTCTAAAACATTAAGACTTAGCCAAATTCAACCTATTCTTTTACATTGAAGTTGTATGAAATGATGTACATGTCTCTCCTTTGGAAGGGGAGGAAGAAAATAAGTTATTTTCCATATACTTGCTTATTTATATATTAAAGGAACAGGAGAAAAGAAACAGCAAGGCCTAAGATGGCATCTGACACTTCCATCCATAGTGCTCCCAAGTAAAGGCAGAGCACATCTTTATTCTAGCAAGCAAAAAATCTACTTAGTAAAATAAAGTCAGTATTAAATTATGGACCAACAGGCAAGTAATTATCCTTAAATTTCAACTATCCTTTGGTATTTCTTTGGCCAAGCATAATAAAGAGATTTGACATTTCACACAGGGACAATCTGTTAATTAACAAAGAATTCARAACTTATAAACAAATTTAGAATTATTAAATATACTTCAAAAGCATTATTGCCTTAACAAAGGGACTAATAATAGAACTGCATTTTATCCTTTAGTACATTAAGTCATTAAGAACATACAGGAAAACACTTAGCAGAAAATCAAAACACTAAAGCCGGTTATTAGGCTAAAAAATATCAACTGTAAATAAATCAGAAAAGAAATACAGCATCTCTGAAATTATATTAAGTCAATTAAAAAGGATTATGCTTTCAAACTTTAACTGACACCAACTTCTCAGGAGCATATAATTTTCATAAGTATGGAATTCAAGATTACTACCCAGATTCTTAGAATATTAATGATATAGTTCAGAGAAAATAGCTATACTTTCAGCTTAACAATAGTAAACAGAATTATTATAAAGTAATTTCAGCAGTTTGAAAATCAAGTCAACTAAAGCAGAAGAGTCTCAAGTACACACAGCTACTCTTATCAGTTCAATTGGTGGTGCTGACTTGGTTTTCTAAGAAAAGGCAAAAAAAAAAAAAAAAAGTATATATGTTTTACTTGTGCACTTGTAACATCTACCATTTTAAAGCAATTTAAATGATTACCAGTACTTTTAGGCCAGTAGCTTTTTTACCCTTCCTGTCAAGACTCCAGAATAGAGTCTTCTTTAGGAGGTAAAAAGAAATCCAGCAAATGCAATAGCTACTAAAAGCAATAAACTATTGTAATTATAACAATCCTCATAACAATAGAATTTATGGTTACAGCTATTATTTTTATTTTATAGAGGAAAACGGTGACAAGAAGGTGTAATATATTCAAGCTCACTTGGCAAGTCAACARCTACAAATCAGAACTCAGGACTTCAAGAAATACCAGTCCATCACCCTACTCTTTGGTGAAATTTATGAACTGATCAAAAAGATGAAAAGAAAATCTTCTGGAATAAGAAACTACCCAAATAAACAGTCTGTATGTGAGTCTAATTACACAATTATAAGTAATACTGATGGATTAAGTTTTTTAAACATCCAAAAAATATTTATCCAGTATACAAAGTAGTTTATAGATCATTTTTATCAAGATGTCACCAGGCGATGCCTATGTAAAATAATCTTGTCATAAATAATCGTACAGAAACATAGTACTATCTTACAATGCTCTAAGATCTATTTTGTTTTAGCAAACAAGTGAAGTACTTCATAGAACTTGTGTACTTACCTTAAAGCAGGTAACACAAAACACTTAGCATTTCAAATAGCCTTGCAAAGTGCCACCTCCCCACAGATCTAGGATAAAATAATTTACTCTAGGCAATAATGACCACAGATTTCACATCTCCAAGTCTATATACCTCCTAATGGGCAGACTAGCAAAGAAAAGAAATTAATGGATCATTCCTTTTAAAATTTTTACATATTTGTAAAAAAATCATTTAAAATGAACACTACCTAAATCTGAGGTTTATTCTTATAACACTGAAAATAATTCTAAAAAATTTCAAAAATTAAAATTTCTAAATATTAAAAAAAAATCTTTAATTAAAATAAAGTAATAAATTTGTTACCTAAAAGTGCCATACAACTAGTATGGAAAAATTCTTACATAAACTACAACATAAGGGAAATTAACTAATTTGCGTATACAGAACTCATTCCTTTTTAAATTAATCAGAGTTACCATAGCAAATAAAAACCCCAAGAATTGAAAGAGCAACAATAAAAACATTGAACTTACATCTAAAAAGGCTATTATAGATCTTGTTTCCTAAGTAATACTTTGTTACTAAAATAAAAAAAAAAACAGGAAGTATAATTCTATTTAGTGTAATTTTAAGTCCTGTTACAAAATGTTATAAATATATAATCCACTGTAATGTTATTTAATTGGCACTATACCAAGAAAGCTGTTATTGTTCTATACTTACTAAAGTCACATGATTAATGTCATAATGTTTCAGTCAGCTGACTACATTGTTCCATATTAATACAAAATAAACTTACTTTACTTTCAATGGTACTATTAACTAAAGAGTAAATCTCATAATCCTAGCAGAAACCTCACAAATTATTTCCTTCTCAGTCCTTTATAAAATAAGATTGAATCACACCTTGCAATCCCAACTATACAGCAAGATTACATGCCTGTTAAGTTATGAGTTCTCTCCGGTTGTTGTCTCATTGCAATTGACTTCAAACAGAATCAGAGTGATTAACAGTACGATTTTCATTAATGTGATATAGAATACTATGTGAATTGCACATTTAACATAATCCAGATTTACCAAACAAAATGTCCACTCTGAAAATATACTTAACTTTATGCATGGGTGGAATTTTTGTASCAAAAGTTACATTAACACAAATAAAGTGCGTAACTAAAGAAATACCAGTACGTTCAAAATAATACCTGCTTTAACTGAAATACAACTAAGAAAGCTGTTTCTTGTAGTATTCTGGTTTCTGCAAAAGTGGCTGCAAAGAACTACCAAAGTTTGGGATGCCTTAGTTGTGATGAATGCTTCTCTAATCCTATACTGAAAACAAAAACAACCCCCTGCACAGTTTAAAAGTAACATCAAGATAGCATTAATGAGAAAAAAAAAATATCCAAACTCACCTTTATTGCCTTGCCCTTTAGGTCTCTGTGTAACAAGATGAAAGGTGTGGTAAAGAGAAGAAAAAGGAAGAAAGAAAAGTGTGTTAATCAAAAACATTATCAAAGATAAGTTATTTTAAACATGCCGCGTAGGAGCAAACCCACCATATCCTCCATAGCCACCAATTTCCCAACCACCCCCAGCCTTAAACCTCCCACCCGCCACACGGAATCCGTCTCCCAGAGCTCGCCTCTCTCAGCCCCACGTCTGCCGCCCTCGGGTTGCATCCTCAGGCCCCYGCGAGCGGTCCTCCCCCACCTCCCGCGGCAGCGCGCCCGCCCGCCCGCCCGTCCGCCCGGGCCGCAGGCTCCGGGGCCAGGTCGCACGCCCCGGCCTGAGAGGCAGGACCGCAGCAACTTGCGCCCCGGGCACCGTTATGGGGCCAGCGGCGACGGGGAGGAGCCGGGGCCCCACGCGAGGGTGGAGCTCTGGGGCTCAGGCCTTCGCCGAGGCTGGGGCCTCTGCTCCTCACCTGATCCACGCTAGTGGCTGACATTCTTCACCGCAACCCGAGAGGAGCCGCCGCTGCCGCTGCCGCTGCCGCCGCTGCCGCCGCCGCCGCCGCCGCCGCCTGGGCCTCTCCCAGTGCACTCACAGCAGTTAGTTGTCGCCCTCGGCGAATGATTGTTTCAGCCGCCGCAGCTGCAGCCGCTCACTGAGAAACCACGAAGAGGGCCTCGCGCTCKGCAGTCAGCGGAAGGGGCCCGTCTTTTACGCTTGCACGCTCCTCTTCCCCTCTCGCTCTCCGCTTCTCGGGTCCACAATGGCGGACAGACTCCCTAGTCTCACTTCCGCTCCGAGCCTCCCTGACCTTCCGCTCTCCACTCTGACGTCCGCGCTCACCTCGCTCTTCCTCCCCCACCCTCCCGCTACGGACCTTGGCTCCGCCTCCGCATCGCCACGTCACTGGAGCCGGGACCCGCGGGCTGGTGGCTGACGCATGCGCTTCGGAGGGCGCGCCAGAGTGGCCCTATTGCGAACCTGCCAGGGTTGGGCTGGTGGCTTCCTTTCTCTGAGGCTGCAGAGGGAGGGTGGCCAGAGCCAGATCCCATCTCACTCTGAGCAGGAAGAAGGCTGGCGTCGGAGGCCTCCGCTGGAGGGGAAAGTGGAGCCCGGCCCAAGACGCGGGGACTGGTGGCGGAGGTCGGGAGCAGCGGAGCGGCGGCGCCCAGCTTCGGTGGCCGGGTCTTGATGGAGCTCCGGAGGCCCTTCTACGCCGCGTGGGCGACTGGGTGACTCAGCCGCCCTCGCGACGGAATTGCTGGGCTGTCCCCACAAGTCAGCACGTGCAGCGAAAGTGACTGGGTGAGGGATCCGCAAATAACAGAAGGGACCTGCGGAGTTCTCCATCTCCAAACCCCTGGAACATCWTAGGAATAACCTAGTGCAACAGTAATCTCCCCTACCCGAGCTAAGTTTCCAATCGAAATTGGTAAAGTTACTTTTTTACACGTTGGCAAAACCAAAGAAAGCCCATTTGCAACATTTTGACAATTTTATTGGAATATCTTTGCAATAAAAACAAAGGTCCCTAGCCTTATTAGCGTGGAGTGGACTCCATGTAAGGAAGTACGTTATAAATAGCCAAATCCTTTGTATTCTTCAAAGTCATTCAATTTAAGTGCTAATTTTTAAAAGTATAAAATTGCTGAATCTAAGAATTAATCTTGTGGTTTACTGTGAACGCTATTTTAGAAGCACTGAATAACAGAACTGAAATTTGAGAGGTCGGTTTTCCTCACTCATTTAGAAGCATATGTTAAGGACTGGTCTGCCTGCTGCGCTTGCTCCTCCACAGGTCCTATGCCACAGGTTCTATGTTGAGCATCCTTGATTTCCCAAGACTCACCTCACCCTCTGTTGAATTCAGGACTCTTCAATTTATATTCCACTCACATAGAAACCTTTTTAGTTTTAAAGAATTTGCTGATATGTACTCTGAGGGGGGGAGTTAAAAAGTAATAAACAAGACACATGAAAATTTGCAGGCTCTGATTCTTAATTTTCATAGAAGCATGTCTTTGGAATCCAATTGGAGTTTAAATTCTGCCTGGCAAAATTAGTTTATAATCTTGGGAAAATCACTAAACTTAAACTTTAGCTTCCTCGTGAATGAAATATATGTACAATTCCTAGCACAAAGTAAACCTACAAATTATGGCTATGAACAGCTAGTTCCTGCTTCCTTGCTAAGTGATTCCCAGAATGATAGTAATAGCTTACATTTATTGAATGTTCATTATTAAGTCAGGCAGTATAATAATCATTTAAGTCCTCACAGCTGCTTGTGTGTTAATTGGTATTATAAAAACTGTCACACAATGAGGTTAAGAAATAAAGAAATAAATCCCCCCAAAACCACAGCTACTTAGTCATTGTGAGAGCCATGATTTGAACAGTAAATTGAGCTCCAGAAATTGTATCTAGCTACTGTATAATACTGCCTAATTATATAATGTTCTAATGAGCTTCTGTTCTCTTTCACTACTGCCCCTCAACAAACTCTTTCCTTGGGACCTTTCTTCCAAACAATGAGTTTTGAACTTGCTGAACAGAGTGCTAATCTAAAATATAAATCTGTTTAACTTAATACTCAAACCCAGGGGCCTACTGCATGTTAGGCAATCCTCCTATGACAGCAATTTTCCCAGCCTCCTAACTTTTCAAAGTACAAAATTCCTAGATAGAAACTAACTAAAGCCATGTCCCATGCCTCCAAGAGTCTGTAGAAGATGTTTTGAGAAATGCTGCTCTAAAATCTAGATTGTGGAAAAAAATGTGCTCTCCTACAGAGCCATAGCTATAGCAAACTTGTGGTCAATACAGCATAGTGTAAAGCTTGGGAAAAAAGAGGGAAGACTGGATTTAAGCCCCCCTTTGCCACTAAGTTTTGCTGCCCTTATCCAGTGACATCCCTTTCTGTACAACTATAACTTTTRGATGACTACTTTTGTCAGTTCAAATTGGGTTAAGCCTCAAGTGGCATCAAGTCCAAAATAACAGGAAATTAAGATAGAAGTGAAACAGTACACACCGGTAATCCTAGCAACTAGGGAGGCTGAGGCAGGAAGATCAGGAAGTTTGAGGCTAGCCTGCGCAATTTAACAAGACTTTGTCTTAAAAAGAAAAAAAAAAAAAGGACTAAGGATATAGCTCAGTGGTAAAGTGTCCCTGGATTCAATCCCAGTGCCACAGAAAGAAAAATGAAAGTTTGTTTTTCTCACCCAAAAGCAGCTTGGRGGCTTTGAAATGCTTTTGAATGCAAGTACTAGGCTGCTATAGTGTCAGATATCTGGGTTGCTTCTTTTACCAAACCAAGCTGTTGCAATATGCCAATCACCAAAGCAAATTTTGCAAACAAAAAAGAATTGATTTAGAAGGCAGTAAAGTATGTGGAAATGGGAGAGCAAATCTCAAATCCACCTCCCTGAGAATAGGGTTTGGCAGCATTTATGTGATAAAGAAGCAGGGTTGTCTAAGACATAGGAAAAGGTGATTGGAGGTAAGGAAAAATGAAGTAATCTGTGGTTTGTGCATAATTGCTCAAACCTCATGGCTCTTTGTAGGAGGCAATATTACTTGCTTGGAGGGTGGCATTTGGCCCCCTGACATCACCCATCAGGTACTTGTGCAGGCCCAAGTGAAGGCTTGGTGAATTCAAATGCTTTGAGCTCCTTCCACATTCCTGAAAAACAATTTAGTTAACTGTTACTATCTGTATATAACTGCCTGGCTTGGTGGTACAGGTGTATAATCCCAGCAACTCAAGAGGTAGAAGGATTGTGAGTTCAAGACCAGCCTGAGCAATTTTAAAAGGTCCCTGTGTCAAAGAAAAAAAAAAAGTTATTTCCTCCATTTATAGCAAGGCTAATGAGAGTGTATTGCTAACTGTGACCTTTAAAATCGGGAAAAAAACAATTAAATCAAGTGAAGCTAGAGGGTTTATTCAGATTTTCCCTTGGTTTACTTCTAGCCTGTTATGCCATCCCGGTAACCATAATTCCATCAATGGTCCAAGTGGAAGCAGCTCCACTTAGAGCCATGTAACATTCCCATCAGCAGGAATCAAGGTAAAAAATAAAAAGAGCACACCTTTATTGTTTTCTTTTTAAAATTTTATTTATGTGTTTGTTTGTTTATTGTCATACTGAGGATTGAACCCTGGAACACTTTACCACTGGGCTATATCCCTGAGCCCTTTTTATTTTTATTTTGAGACAGGTTCTAAGTTGCTGAGGCTAGACTCAAACTTGCAATTCTTCTGCCTCAGCCTTCCAGGTAGCTGGGATTATAGGCATCTACCACTAGTACCAGCAGCACATGTTTTTCTTTTAAGGACATTTTGTAGTTTTTGTATTTCTCACTTCTGCCTCCCTCTTACTACTAAAACATACTTTTCTGAAAACACTTACCTGTCAGAAAGCTGAAAAACATGTACTGAGCAACTGGGTACTCAGCCAAAAATCAAGTTTACCATTTACCTTAGTAAGAAGACAGGGAGAATAGATGTTGAAAGATAACTATTTATTACTGAACTATGTGCATAGTAATTTCCCAGATTCACTTTGTTACCTAACAGTGTTTAAAGTTTCCCTTATATGTTGTCAGTATTTAAGCCAAAATGTTTAAGGGTTTTTTTATTATCTTTAAATAACATAGTAAGTGAACCAAGAATTAAAAACTTAATTTGAGGATTGAATTTTCTTTTTTTCTTTTCTTTTCTTTTTTTTTTTTTTTTGGTACTGGGGATTGAACTCAGGGGCACTCGACCACTAAGCCATATTTCCAGCCCCAGCCCCTTTTTCGTATTTTATTTAGAGAGGGTTCTCACTGAGTTGCTTATTAGCATTTTGCTTTTGCTGAGACTGGCATTGAACTCAGGATCCTCCTGCCTCTTCCTCCCAAAATGCTGGGATTACAGGCGTGCATCACTGCGCCCACCAATTGAAGCATTTTCTAAAGGAGATATCCTCAAGTATTATATTATGCTTATAATAGTTGAGGAGGATATTGAGTAAAACCAAAACTAAAGAAAGAAACCTGTTTCGAAACAGGTTAGGATCTTTCTCATTCATTCTTATGTTTACTGCAGGGAATTTTACAATGAGGTGGAAAGTACAGCAGAAAACTTCCCATGACCTTAGGTTTACTTCAAGCAGTACTTCTCAAAAGTATTTCCCTGGAGCCAGTGACAGCTTCTGGTAAGAACTCATTACAAACGTAGATTATCAGGACCCAGGCCATATTTGCTGAATGTGAAACTCTATAGTTTTAAAACCAAAGGGCCTATTTTTAAAAAAAAAAATAATTTTTATTTTTAAGTGATTTTTAAATTTACAGAAGTGTTGTAAAAATAGTACAAGAGAGTTCCTGTATATCCTTCACTCAGCTTCCCCAAATGTTCACATCTTACACAATTTTGGTACATTTATCAAAGCAAGGAAATTGCCATTGGTACAATACTACTAACCGCAGACTATTTGGATTTCCATAGTTTTTCCACTAACGTTCTTTTTCTGTTCCAGAATACCAATGTTACATTTCAGCACCATGTCTTTTCTCTTCCAATTTATGACAGTCTCTTGGTCTTTCCTTCTCTTTCATGATTTTCAGTAAAAATTATAGGAGGTCATTGTTTTGGACCGAGCTGCCGCACATAGACTAAAATAAAAATGGAGTCACTCATGCTTAAGTTCCACATCACCAAGCTGAAACTAAACTGTTTATCTGAACTTCCCAGAAATCAGGATTAGAGATGACAGCCAAATTTTCCAGACAGTATA